AATCATTTAATACTTTTTGTATTATTTTATTTGTATAAGAATTTTTAACTGTGAAGAATGGCACATTGTTATATTTTTTTTAAATAATTTTTGTTGCTTATAAATGTGTGAATCTTCCATTTGTTGTTGGACAGTATTAAAGCATTCAATTTTCCTGAAAGTGGAAAGGCAATTTATCTATTCTAGATAGCTGTAAGTTAATTATTTTATTGCCCACTACATTCAACTGTACTGTGTTGACACAATAATGATACTTTATTTATATAACACCAAAATCACGGCAGACATCTCAAAATACATAGTCTTCTGGGGGCTAAGCATATATTCATACATTTTGGTAGAGAGGAATATAGGCCTACTGTCATATAGGTTATGTTATCGGGCATCCTTCTAATTCCCTTGAACAACCAAGATTGAACTTTTGAACTCTATAATTTCTATTATCTAGTCCAGTTAAAGTCCAGGGGAGGAAGCCCCATCATAGTAAAGAGGATACTAATGTGATGTGTGTAGTTCTTCATAGCCTCTTCATTTTGCTCTCAAAGTGCACGGAATTGATGGATTTTTAATAGAATGTAGAAAAAATTTCTCCCGGGGGGCAGGGGGCATGCCCCCGGAGCCCCCTAAAGGGGCCATGTTCCCCTTGGGGCTAAGCCCCCCTTGTTCTTGAAACCTAGTGACGCCCCTGCTAACAGGGTTACGCCACATTTTTTATTTTTTTACTCACATCACGTTCATTTGTGCGTGCTGGAGATTTCATGTTGGCTGTTGGTTCACCATATCTTTAAATATTTGATGAGTTGCCAGATGTCCTAGCGCAAGCTCAAATAACAGTCTTTAATAAAAAGAGTGCGTGTGCGTAAGTGTGTGCGTGAGTGTGCGTGTGTGTGTGTGTGTTTGCGTGTGACGATAGTCTGCAATTTCTTTATCATACACTGTGTCAGACAAAATGGATGACCTTTAATTACACAAAATAATAATAATTCACTGAATTAACAGAATAGCACGATTAAATTATATAGTTAATGTCTCAACTGAATGTTAACGTTTGTAGGAAGAATTGCAGTTCATTTCTTTTCCAGTGCAATTTAGTGAAAACAATTTTAATTTTATATATTTGATAAATTCTAAAAATTCAAACTCTTGCTGCCCAATCAGTCGTGGGGCACATTATTACATTGATCTTTTTAAGCACTCTTGACATAGTGTATGCATCATGAATACTACCTGAAGCATCATGCTTGAGCAAGATGAATCATATGTGGAACAATACTTGTTTCACATGAAATCCAATGTCTGGTGATGTCTATACGATCCACACTTTCGGCTGTAATTGATTGCAAAGGAATTGCAACAAAGTATTAAAAGCTGAGAGTTTGAGTTATGCTTGTTAATTTGTCCCATTACTTTTGGTCACTTAAAAAGTGGTCATGCTGTTCACCTGATTTGAAAATAAGTCTCCTCCAATGAAATCTGAAAGTCTGGCAGTTTAACATCCTGCTCATTTCATTTCTAATCCATTGTGGTGCTGTTTGAAGCAAAAATCTGAGAATTGTGTCTGTGTCCCAATATTTTGGATCTGACTCGATGTATATTGTTTTGTCCACTTACACAACAACAATCTTTTTAAACAACACTTATTTCTTTGTGTTTTTGAAATATTTTACATCCAATAAGTAAAAGAAAAGTACTTGCTTCTTGTAATCTGATTCAAAAGCATAATTTTAGTACTCTATTTCAGGTAGCAGAGAACACAGGAATGTGAGCCATTGAGTAGTATGAGACCCCTGTATCTAGCTCACGTATCGGCAACCTTTTACACTCAAAGAGCCATTTCGACCGGGTTTCCACGCAAAGGACAACACTGGGAGCCGCAAAAACACATTTTGACATCTGAAACGACATTACTCGCATATTTTGTGTGAAGAAAAATAATACATTATGTAAAAAAATCTTTTAATACTTTGAGATCACAATAATCTTAAAATTTACAACTACAATTGAACAAACAAACAAACACAAAATACTTTGTTGAGATACTGTGTAGTTTGGGAGTCGCTGGGCTTTCCACGCATGCCGCTTCCACGCATGCCGCCTGACACACTAAGTACTCACAAATGTCTCTGAAGAAGGCGAATGCTAATCACCAAAATTGCACAAGGTCTGATGAAAGAAGTGGTGTTGGGAAGAAAAATAACAAGGCCAGAGTGTAACCAAACACTGTATTTTCTAGACAGGCTATTAACAGTACAATATTAGTTCATAGAGCTCACTGTAGTCTCCATTACACAACTGCTCTCCTTCCTTTTTCCCTCTCGACAGTGTTTTTGTTGCAACACTGCCATCTAGTGTGCAGTCAGAAACAACTGTTCAGTGAATTCCGTTTTTCACGGCCCTC